CTGGTTTACGAACTAGTTCAAATTAAAATAGATTTACACGTTGGACCAAATTTAATCGATATTCGATCGTAATTAATCGAGTTATCGTGCTAATGAATACACACACGCACACATATATGAATTTGAACTTATCGTTGGTTTGGTCTCTGGGGATATAAATCGTAAAAGTGTATCGGTCATAGCCTAAAGTAATTTGAAAACAATCCTGGGCTAGAGCGTGGTCAAAAATGTATTCCTATCAGTTAAATGATTAAGACTTTATGTTTAAAACATTTTACTTGCAGTTGTTACTGTTGAAGACATCTTAGCTTGATCATCACCTCATTATATATTTGAATACGAAACCTGTACACACTTTGATCAAAACAACTTTTATATACATTTAGTGGTCCAAGAAATACTTAAAAGAGCTTTTGAAATCTGCTAAATATAGTTTAAAATTTTAATGATATAACAGAAATTACTGACTAGATCAGGGTTTGACCAAACCCTTAGTTGTTTAGGTTATAATACTTTTTAGAAGGATGTGTTTGAATTATTGTAGAAATTCAGTTCGCAAAGTTCCTGTTATTCATATTAGAGGATTATTTTAAATTATATAATCCATTCCCGTGTAAATCTTGTAACTAGAAAAATAGAAGTAATTGTCATTGTAAGGATGATTTATATTAGTTGAAGTAATATACAGTTACTAAAAAATCTATATTTTTACTGTTATTTGTTAAAAGCTAAAGCAACTATGTGGTTTTGAATGAAAGCACGTCTTTTACGAGATTGAGGTTTTACTTTTCAAAAGTTCAAAACTAAAAGAAAAGAAAAAAGAGCCAGCGTTTCTGATGATCACAGGTCTCAAAGTCGTCCGGAATCTAGAATTAAAACAGTGCAGCGTTGTGAAAAATATTTTAAAATAACCCACCTCATCTATACATTTTGAATTTGATCTAATTAAATGCCTGAAAGAATCTGTTTAGCTTATTTCATTTGAATTTATTCTTTATAATCATTTCTATGGTTTTGAAATATTATACCTACTTATAATTTTACTCTTATAAAGGAGGATATACTTTTAAAAAGTACACAGAATATGTATTTTTAACTTGTAGATTCAACGGATTTGTACCTTTTGTAAAAATTATAAGCGTTTGTCCTGTTGAAAATACAATATAGCTTATTATCGTAATGATTATACTTTCAAAAGGATATGAATCCAAATATTTGTTGCCTTACTATTCTGCGATTACACACTGTAAATCTTGTTTAAGCAAAAGCTTAGTAGCTTATTATTTTCTATGTCGCCAAAAAGTTAGTGTTTTCCTTTTTTACTGTGTATAGAGTTAATGATATTTATATTTTTTAGTGATTTTTATGTATTTTATTGAATTTCCCATATTGGAAATAATCTATTACCGTAGGTCTTATGTATTGGATCCCGACCGAATTACTTTTTCGTTTTGAGGTCCTCAGAGGCCAAAAACACCCTCCGTTAAAATCCATAAATACATATATCCATACTGTAATGGCCGTTAGCGCGATAACTCAAGGAAAAATGATCTGATTAGTATGAAATTTTGTAAAAACCTGTAGCTTAAACCTGCATTTATTTGAACGAGTTTGCGAACCAGCATGATCGGGCTGTGATATGGATACTTTGTTGTTCTGTACATTATCTTTGTAAATCATTGTAGACTTCAGTTTACCATTTCCTCAAAGAAGCCACTGTAGCTCTGTAAACCAATGTTACGAGAGAGAGTTATCCTGTATTCGGGTAGGGATGAGAGAGCTGGCTTATTGTGTACCTACTACGTATCCTATTTCTTTTTACAGCATTCCTACGTTCGGCTTTATTCACATTTATTTCTTGTGTGGTTGATACTGTAAATTAAGTACTATACTACTGTTGTAGTCTGATTTTGCTGATTCAAAGCTATGTATACTTTTGTATTCTTGGTGATAAAATAATGTATTCAAATATCGGTGTCCAAGCTGAAATATTTTCAGTTCCAATTACTGTATGTCTATATCCGGTTTAAAAATATTGGTAAAAGGTATTCAACTCAGTTCTCTATTTTGGCCGCAATGTTCATGGAACATTTTTAATTTTGCGACCAACAAATGTTCTGCTGACTCACGGATGTTAAAATTACACATTCCTCTGCAGCTTTGATGTGGTGTTTGAATGTCAAAGGGTCTAAACGGAATTTTATAAATTAACCGATTTACCAAAAATACAATCTTTACCTTTGAATACAAGCCCAATACATATATGTATCTATTAGAAACCGTGGTTCTTGACAGTGTTTAACCATTAACTAAGAATTGCTATTAACATGATACCATAATTTATATTGTGTCTTTTGTTTTTAATGAGACCACCAAGGTTTTGTTAATTTTATTATATAAACTACGTAGGGCATTCTTTGTCTTGCATTTAAAATACAATAATTGAATCTTTCTTTAATATACTACCTATATAACATTCATTCACTTAATATAATAACCTTCTCTGTGACGTTCTTTGGTGGTTACATTTTTACTTTGGTTTGGAATAAACACGTATATTAATTATGATGTAAAAACTGTTAAGGGTCAAAATACAACTCTTATCAAACAATTTTAGTTCAACAGAGATATAAACCCTGGTTACCTTACGATACGTATGCAGCACTTAAAGTGTCAATAAAACGTCAACGTCTAGGCTAATGAATATACGTTTAATTTATTTTTATGCTAGTCAGTTAAAGGGTAGATACCTAGTATTGAGATTACTTCTCTGACGTCATGTATTGAGTTTTAGCTACAAATGAGCAGTTGTCGTTTCCAGATCTTCCATTGCGTAACATACATTTTTTTCTACCTATGTTATACTGCAAAGCTCCAATATAAGTAAAAATGCGTTTCTTTATACTAAGAGCCATCATTGAGAAATAAAAAAATAGAACATAATTCGATTTAAATGTTTGTTACAAAATTTACAAAACCAAATTTCTTATGATTTTGTCTTAATTTAAAATAAACTGATGAGTTTTCAAATATATAACATAAATATTTTAGTTTATAAAACCTGTGAAAATAATTTTGGTAGATAGTCAATCCTACAATTTCCTTTACTCCTAGTATTATGTTCTTCAAAAAAGTTTTGTGAGAAAGATAAAAACGTCTGAAATGTTTAACTCGATGTCTGAGGCTCACCGTAAGCCAGGGTAACCTCTCCTTGTGAGAAACGCCAAGTTTTCTGTTTAGATTGGAACTTTTGTACCGATCAGCAAAAACATTGGACTGACCAACAGTTCCCTTTTATCGTTTTATTTTTTATAAATGTGGTTTTGTGATTTATTTTGATTGTAGGCCATTGTGTATAGTGACAATTATTTAGATAAAGTATAACGCTATTTTGGACATACTCTTTACAGTAAAATATCAGGAAATTAGTCGATACAATATGTGTATAAGAATCATGCTTTTTAATAGACTGACTGTATATAAAGCATCAAATATTGGAATTTTTTATTTAATTGGGAAATGAATAAATTTTAGATCATTCATGTTTTGGTGTTCAACATTCGCCTATTGGGCCTGATGATTATTGGAGTGTCCAATCGAAATCGATCACCACTTACCATTTTTTATATATATATATATATATTTACCGTCTTTTGAGTAACAGTATAAGCGTAAATATATGTTTTAAGTGTTATAAGACGTTTCTTTTATTTACATTCCGTAAAAATAATAACACGTACAATGCTGGTCAAGAAGTTTTTCAATATATATAATGGACTCGCCTTTGGCTCGCTGGGGGCTCCGCCCCCAGGCCCCCTAGCTGTTAGTCGTCATTAGTAGATTAGAGTTAAGTTGTAACAAAGCAAGAAGTGAAACCGTCAATATTAAGTTATATAAGTTAACTTTGAGTAAGATAACTTCTAGCTTAAGGAACACCTCATAAAAAATCATTTTTTAAGTTGCGGTAAGTGAGTATGTTAGTCAAGTATTTTTACAATTGAGTTTTTGGTCAAAGGAAGTAATAATATGAGGAGAGAAGGGTTCGTTATAGTAAAAATCGACATTAAAGTAATAACGATTTCATGAATTTATTAGAGGAGATTGATAAGTTAATAAGTTGATAATAGTAAAGTATTATATGAAGTAAATAGATTATAGTAGATATTCAAGTATATAATTACGAAAATAGATTAAGTAAGGTTTGTTTCCCTGTCGGTTAGCCATAAACTTTATGGCATATCCAGTTCCGCCACGAGGAGGCCAGGAAACGTCGGAACCATATTTGCAATTATTTGAATATGTACAAGTTAGTAAACTTTTGTACAAGATAAGTAAATTTATATTGATGTTCATTGATAGGTTAATAAGTTGATAATAGTAAAGTATTATATGATGTGAATAGATTATATTAGATATTCATGTATATATGATGTAAATAGAAAATAGATTATAGTAGATATTCATGACGTATATATTTATGAAAATAGATTAAGTAATGTTTGTTTCCCTGTCAGTTAGCCACAAACTGTATGGCATATCCAGTTCCGCCACGAGGAGGCCAGGAAACGTTGGAACCATATTTACAATTACTTACAAATGTACAAATTAGAGAACTGTTGTATAAGATGAGTAGATTGATTAGTATGTCGATTGATAAGTGAATAAGTTGATAATAGTAAAGTATCATATGAATTAAATAGATTATAGTAGATATTCATGTATATATTTATGAAAATAGATCAAGTAATGTTTGTTTCCCTGTCGGTTAGCCATACAATTTATGGCATATCCAGTTCCGCCACGGGGAGGCCAGGAAACGTCGGAACCATATTTACAATTATTTACAAATGTACAAGTTAGTAAACTTTACTAACTACTTTATACAACAACGGGGACTTTTGATAAGGCAGGCCCCCTATCGTCCTGCCGATGTTGTCAAGTCACAACGGGGAGTTTTGATTAAGCAGATCCCCTAGCCTACTGCTAATGTCAAATCAGGTTTAGAGAAGGAGATCGCCATACACGATGTTCTTTGCGTATGCGATTCCATCTCGGACACGTTCGGGGTGTACGAGAACAACAATATGGTCTGGATGTCTGACCCTACTGAGCAAGACGTATAGTTGCCCGTGCGTGAAGCAATCGGTCCGTAAATCAACACCGACTGAATCTATTGTCTGACCTTGGCTCTTGTGTCCGGTCATGCAATAGGCCAACATCAGTGGGAACTGACGTCGACGAACACGTAACGGCGAACCCTCGACAAACGCAAAAGTAAAGGTAATCCGGGGAATTCCGATAGGTTGCGTCTGTCCGGGAAGTCTCACTGTAATCAGGCGGTTGGTGATGCCGATTACGATGACTTTAGTGCCGTTGACGAGTCCTTCAGCGATGTTGAGGTTCCTCATAATGAGGCAAACAGAACCGATCTTCAGCCGCAGAACATGGTCTGGTACGCCCTTGCCAGTAGCCGTGTTCAGGAGTTGAACGTCGACATCCAGGCCATCGTCGTTCTCTCTGTCGACTGTGTCGGCGCTCCTCAGCTCGTACAGATGACCGTCGAGGGAGTTCAAGATGTGGTCGTTGATCTCCTTGACGTTCACTATCAGAGTCGAGAGGATTGCGCGTCGCGAACACATATCAGAGTCGAGTAGGACGTTTGCGGGAAAGACGGAATCGACCAAATCAGTCAAAGACGTCACTTGTCTAATCCCGAGCAGCGGAATTAGACTTTGTTCGTTCCGTCCCTCCAAGAAAGTGGTCGAACTGACAGTTCCGTTGCCTACCCTAAGAAGGAATTCGGAATAGGCTGTGGAACTACTAGTCCGATGAGCTGTTGTCAGGGCAAAAATTTTGAAATGCTGCCACAGATGGGAAGCCCGAAGTGAGACACAAACAATGTCAGTTGGAGTACGAGCGTTTACAACGACAGGCGCGATCTGGCGAAAGTCGCCACAACAGAGGAATATTTTACCACCGAATAGCTCACTGGAACGCATGAGGTCTCGCAGGGATCTGTCAAGAACCTCGAAAACGAACCGATGTGCCATCGGGGCCTCATCAAAGACAATGAGCCTTGCGGCCCTGATGAGCTCTGCTCGCTGGGAGCCGTTGGTGATGTTCCAAAAGCCGGTGCCGTCACCGAAGTCGAGTGGCAACCGGAACATGCTGTGAGCTGTAGTTCCACCAGGCATGTTACCCGCGGCGATCCCAGAGCTAGCGACTGCCAGTGCAACCTGACGACAACCTCTCACGTATGCGAGAATGACACGAATCAGAGTGGTCTTCCCATAGCCTCCCGGGCCGTCAAGAAAAATGATTTTCGACGACGTTCCGCTGGCAGGGGCATTGAGAACGGAGGTAACGTACTCAAATACGCGGTTTTGATCTTCAGAGAGCTTTGGCACCCACTCCTCCACAAACACTCTCTGTTGATTTTCACCATGTAAGAGCAGTTCTCTGCCCAACTCCGTCGTGTCATCGTGTACATCGGGGAGGCCATGATCTGCGACGCAAGAACCCTGCCGACGAAGACTCCGATCAATATCGATGAGACCTAGCTTGTAGGCCAGTTCAACATCGAGAGGATTACGCTCTATGTGGTCCTCGCAGATGGAATCACGGAAAGCATCCCACAGGAGAGCTGCAGGAGCCCCCATGTTGCAGAGGATCACAAAGAAAGAACGAAGTCTCGGGCCAGTCATGAAAGTGGCGGCCTCGCGCAGTGCGTAGTGGTACTCCTGTTCGTCTTGCACCAAGCCAAGATGCCGCGCGACCCCTTGAAAAGTGCGGCAGTTTGGTCCACCGCGGGACAGGAGGTCGGCATAACCACGGCAAGATACAGTCATAAGCAGGATACGCAGGTAATACTGTTCTGTCCTGCTCGGTGAGACCCAAAACAGTCTGCACACCTTCTCGCCACGCTGTCGGGCAGTGATAAAATGGACGCCATCGGGGTGCTCGTATATCTCCGCAGTTTTTGGGCGCTTGACATGAACCACAAACGTTTCATAGAACCCCTGATAAGTCAGGTCGTCAAACAGTGAAATACGAGGCCGGTCAAAGTAGATGGTGAGTTTGGAGCTGTTCCTAGCGGCTGCCTCTGCCAGTTGGCCAGGTCTAAACAGGACGGACTGCTTGCCCTCCAGATGGACGGGAAGACATTCAACAGCCGGCTCAGATTCTGATACTGGAAAGTTTAATAAACGCCAGCACGCGTCACTGGCACCCACCATTCTCTTCGTCACGTAATGCTGTACCTCATCATCTTGCTTACTGAAGGGAGTAACTGTGACGTTCTGGAGAGATCCTCCCTTCATAAGATATTTGAAGAGGTACTTAATCACGCGGCGAGTAGACGCCAGCTCCAAATTGATGTGAGCCTCGTATTTCAACATCAGTGCGGGATTATAAGGCACAACCCAACCGTCATGTACGATAATGTTCTTATTGCGTGATACAATTGTCCCCCGATTGGTATAATCTCGCTTGTACTGGACGAATCCCCTCTCGTCGACGTGGGTGGTTTCACAGCAGGGCTTGGGGAAGTATTTGGTGCAGTAACCCTTTGCAGAGTCCCAACAGAGAAAGTCAGTCCTATGATCATTACCACATGGACCGTGGATCATGTGTTTGAGGACCAACTTTCTCAGTCGGCCTCCGGCCTCTTCTTCCGAGGGAATATCCGCGCGGATGATGGAGTCAATTTCGGACGCCTGAACTGGTCCGTCGCCGTCAATCTTGAATACAATGTGGGCGTGAGGAAGGCCCCTCATTTGCATCTCGATGACGTAGACGATATAGACAGAGCGTCCAAACATTGCTCCGCTGCGCAGGTCTCGGAGAAGTTCCAGAAGTTTGATCCTAAAAACTCTGCAAGCAGTGCTAGGGTCACTGCGAGTACCTCCACGAGGGCAAGCTTTCTTGTTTTCCTCCCAAGTCGCGTTGTAAGTAAACGTCAAAAAGAAAGTGGGGGAACCCAGGCGCGATACGATTGCCATAGCGTCTTCGTATTTTACTTTCATGTACCTGGGCCCCCCGGTGAACGAACTTGGGAGGTAGACTTTTCCTGCCTGCACCCCACCCTCGCCTTGGACGGTTTCATCACGAGCGATGTCGTTCAAGACCTGCTGTGCATTCCGAATCTCGTCAACCGGCCCCACCCGCAAGGCACTATCGGTGTTCTTCAGCTGCGTAAACTTAATGTAACGCAGTTTCTCCTCCTCGTACCTCGCGAACATCTCAACCTGCCAAGCTTGTGAGAGACGGCCTAGGTGAGAGAAGCGAGGTTCAGAAAGTAGGAGGCACCGCGAGTACTTAAATTGAGTCAGTTTGGCACCCTTGTTATCAAGGCGGCCAACGTGCCATCCCACAGTGCCTTGCGGGTAAAGTAGGGGATATTGGAAAGGTTCCATTAGGGGGTGTAAAAGATCAATAAATGTAGGTCTATCGGAACCGGATTTCCATATAGTCAGTCTCCGGGGCTCAGTGTCGTTTTCATCATTGCTGAGCACGGCGTGCACTTCGACGCCTGTTTGCCGATCACCGAGAACAGGGCCATGGGTAGACCTGCTTGTTACTTCAAAAGCCAAGTGAGCTGTTACGGAAGGCTCGTTGCTCAATCGACGGTAATGCTCAATGTAAGGATTTTCCCTAGACAGGAAATCAGCAATACCGTCGATGATCTCGGCATCAAGCGATCTACCCATCGCAATGTTACGGCGCTCTTCGCCATCGTCAATATACAGGCGGGACCGATTCACAAACTGAACGTTCCCAGAACGAGTGGTGAACTTTTGTCCTGGGGCGTCCAGATTGTAGACCTGGTGGTACATTCTTCCCTCGATCTTGAAAAAAGAAAGACCACTGGGATGACGATACCCGCCTGACACTTCGAGCGCGCAGAAAGCAAACAGGTCGTTGTACGCACGGGCTCTTTCCAGGAAGAGACGGTCGGAATAAAAGCGTTCTTGCAACGGAGGAATGTCGAGAACATTGAACGCTCCTTCCCCGCAGCACCATTGCTTTCTATTCTTCTCCTCCTCGAAGAGCCGTGCTTGGCAATGACGACATCTGTAAACGTCGTCAACCCAGAGACTGACTTTTTTTAATTTGTATGGTTGTATTTCATTGAGTGGCTCCCCATTCCAAACAGACATGGGGCCATTTTTGACTACGGACCGAGCAAGTGATGCGGGCATATAGCGAAGTTCAGACATTTTCGGATTTTTCAGGCGAAAAATCTGAACTCTCTCAGCAGAAGCACCGGGATTACGCAGGTCGTATTGCTGAACAGCCTTTCGGTGCACCTCAGGGTGGGTTTGAGTGTAACGTTGACTGTCATCCCGGAGTTTGTCAGCGTGCGTCTCCCTATACTTCTTCTTCGCCGCATCCACTTGCTCTTCTCGGGTCGTGTCTAAAAGCTTTGGACGACCACGCTTTATTGTTTTTGGTCTACCAGGACATTTGGTTTTCTGAACAACTGTCTCAGAGGCAGATTCTGATAACTGAGTTAAGTCATTGTCCGAACAGTCGACCGTGTGGACAGTTTGAGTTTCGTTGACGGAAAACTTTATTTTTGTGACGGAGTACTGCCCACCGACGAACGCAGAATTCACCAAAATGAGGGAAGCTAGAGAACGAAAACTATTACAGACGAACACCCTAGCCTTATTTCTCGCCTCATCAATGTCTCGACGACGGTTTTCGTTTACCGCGTGGGAATCAAAGAGGTACAGCCGCCCTTGGAAACGCCAAAAAGCGACTGTCACCAACTGTCCCGTAAACAAAAAACCGCTATCAACGGAGTCACCGGGCATAGCTGCTTCCAAAACCGAAGACAAGGAAGAGGTCACCTCATCTAGGCCATCGTTTCGTAACGGATACAACCCGTCCCAAACACAAGAAATTTCTTCGATGGTAACACGATGGTGTGCAACCACGAAGTGCCTGGCGAGGTCCTCAGGGAACAGATACCGGTTAGTGATGCTATGCTCACGGCGAGATAGTGTATACAAGCTATCGCCCGCCATGAGTATAGCGTCAATAGCGTTGGTACTGAATCCGCCGCAGAATGCTTGCCATGCGAGGGCACAGGTTGCATTTGCCATGCATTGAGCGTTGTTGCTCTCGGTAAATCTGGGATCTCCCTGGTGGAACGACCCAGCAGCAACGCAAGAGAATTCCATGCTTACAGAAAATTGCAGCAAAATCGCCAAAATAACAAGTCCAATAAATAGGAAGAAGTGACATTGAAACTTAATCATGGGTAGCCAAATCCATTAGCAAAAATTAGAGCGAGAACCAAATGACTATACAGCGTTACTGACCTACGCGTTTTGGGGGTCAAGGAGTAAAGTTACGAAAAAACATGTGAAGGGTGAAATGTAAAGTAAACTAAGGAGAGTACGAAACATTAATAATATTTGAAGAACAAATTTTTTATGTACGAAAAATTATCAAAAACCGTTAAAAATTTGAAGAAAATTTACCAAAATTTGAAAGTAGGGCGTTTTTTTTAGGCGAAGGAGTGCGATTTTCTAAAAACGCGTAATAGTGTCTTGTAGGAAATTTAATTCCTGTTCATGAAGATTCTTTCAAATTTTTGCTAGCTATTACCGTTTTTTAGTTATAGTCGGTATTAAAAACCGTGTTTTTCGTTTTTATACGTCTACCATTTTGGATTTTTTTGAGGGTTAAAATTTTTAAAAGGCATTTTTGCAAATTCCACCATTAACGGATGATCCCATACTGCAATACTACAAAAATTTAAAGTCTTTAGAACGTTTCTAAACTAATCAGATGAGCATACCAAAGTATTAAAATTACATAGCTATTCCCCATAAGGATAACATGGGGCTGGTAAAACCGGTAAAAACCAATCAAATTTTCACATTAAAATTAAGTTTTTGGGGGTCAAGGAGTAAAGTTACGAAAATACATGTAAAGGGTGAAATGTAAAGTAAACTAAGGAGAATACGAAACATTAATAATATTTGCAAAAAATAATTATTTAGGTACGAAAACATAGCAAAAACCGATAAAAATTTGAAAAAAATTTACAAAATTTTGAAAGTAGGGCGTTTTTTGAAGCTTAAGGAGTGCGATTTTCTGAAAACGCCTAAGAGGGTTTTGTAGAAAATTTAATTCCTGTTCCTGGATATACTGTCAAATCTTTTCTAGCTCTTACCGTTTTCGAGCTATATCCGGTTGAAAAAAAAGTGTTTTTTCGTTTTCAGAGGTCCGCCGTTTTGGATTTTTGGGTGGGTTAAAATTTGAAAATGGGACTTTTGCATATTCCACCGGTAATGTAAGATCTTTTACTACAATACTACGCAAATTTGAAGTCTCTAGCACGTTTCTAAGTGGTTCAGATGGGAACACGAAAGTCGGCCATTTTTAATGTTATTCCCCATAAGAATAACATGGGGGGGAATTCGAATTTTCGGGGGGGTTAAAATTTGAAAATGCGACTTTTTGGAATTTTATGGGTGGTTTGGGCACTAGACCTACAACCACCGAAAATTTCAAGTCTCTAGCTCATCTAGAAGTGGTCTAGAATTTGTATCCCCAGTCAGTTACACATCGGATTGTATAGTATTTAGACTCGCCTTGTGCTCGCTGGGGGCTCCGCCCCCAGGCCCCCTTTTTTGGTTGGGGGTCAGTGCCAGGCCCCCTTTTAATAGTAGCCGTGATGAGAAATGTTCACGGGGGACAGGATGTTGTCCGGAAACATTTTTGCGTAAAAGACGTAGTGATAACTTGGCAGTTGCGAAGTATTCCATAAAGGGGTTGTTTAGTGCAAACCAAACCAGTCTTGACATGTAAGAGTCTCGATGTAGGGCCGGTGCTATGATATTTTAAATTTGCTTAGTCTCAACCTCTAAAACTTTCTTCACATCAATAAGCATCGGTATAAAGTCTTGGGAGTTAGAGTGAGGTAAAATAATATTTTAAAATAATCTTAGGCCCCCTTCGGGGGCGGGGGGTTGAGAAAAATTATCGGCATGAAGAATGGACCCCTTGCGCAGTAAAAATCACCAAAAATAGGGAAAATAAGGTAAAATTTCAGGTTTAAACACGAATTTGGGGTGAAGATGGGAAAAAATTAAACTAAACGCGTGGCTCAATCATATCCTGGTTGAAGTTCGTTCACTACGCTCACTCACCTTTAGTTTGGAGCTCGTTTGCTGCGCTCACTTGCCTTCAGGTTAGCTCGTTCGCTACGCTCACTCACTTTTAGGTTGGAGCTCGTTCGCTGCACTCAATTGCCTTCAGGTTAGCTCGTTCGCTACGCTCACTCACTTTTAGGTTGCAGCTCATTCACTGCGCTCACTTGCCTTCAGGTTAGCTCGTTCGCTACGCTCACTCACCTTTATATCAGCTATTGTCATAAATTTAGAAAAATAATAGTACTGCACCCTGTTGCTAATGGTAAAATTTTATTAATGGGGATGAAAGAGGGAGGGGTTAGAATGGGATTGGTCTAAATATCCATAATTCACCTACTTACATTTAGATCTTGTTTGCGTGTATAAGCATGTTAATTTTCTATTAGGAATACGTTAAAAAGAGTTAAAAACTACCTTTATGATTGAAAACCCGCCATTATAAATTTTTCAGTACGTTGAAATTATAGAAGGTCACTCAAGGGAATTCCTTTTCAACGGTGGGACCATAAAAAGTACGAATATATGTACGAAAAGTAGCTTTAAGAATCAAAAACATCTAAAAAATCGAGAATTTTCACAATTTTTGGAAGTAGAGCGTTTTTTTGAAGGTGAAGGAGTAAGATTTTCGATATAACACCTTCTTTGAGAAAATTGGCTGGTAGAAAATTTAATTCCGAACCTACGATTTTCCCTCAAATCCCTCTTATCGTTTTCAAACTACAGCTGTTTTGAAAAAAACGTGTTTTTCCAAAAACGAGGATTTTAATGAATTTTTTTTGCTGGGGGGGTTGAATGTTGAAAATGGTTTATACGAATTTCACCGGTAATGTAAGATCCCGTACTACAAAACTACAAAATTTCAAGTCTCTAGCACGTTTCTTAACGGTTCAGATGAGCGTACGAAAGTAGGTTTTTTTCAATGTTATTTCCCCCAAGAATAACATGGGGAGGGAATAGGTAATTTAGAGGGGGTTGACAGGAAAAATTCGACTTTTCGGAATTTTCCTGAGTGGTTAGGCCAAAGACCCACGTGCGTGCCAAATTTCATCTCCCTGGCACGTCTAGAAGTGCCCAAACATGCCTGTCAAAACATGATAATTCTCCATAAGAAAATACGTTAAAATTTATCTTTTTGATTGAAAATTCGCTATTATAAATTTTTTTCGTAAATTAAAATTATAGAAGGTCACTTTAGTGACTTTCCTTTCAATGTTGGTAGCATAAAAAGTAGAAATATATATACGAAAAGTCGTTTTAAAAATTAAAAACACGTAAGAAAATCGAGAATTTTCAAAATTAAAATTATAGAAGGTCACTCAAGGGACTTTCTTTTCAACGTTAAGACCATAAAAAGTACAAATATATGTACGAAAAGTCGTTTTATAAATTAAAAACACCAAAAAATCAAGAATTTTTACAATTTTTCGAATTAGGGCGTTTTTTGAAGGTGAAGGAGTCAAATTTTCGATATGACCCCTTCTTTGAGAAAACTGTCTTGTAGAAAATTTAATTCTGAACCTACGATTTTCCCTCAAATCGATTCTAGCTCTTACCGTATTCGAGCTACAGCAGTTTTTAAAAAACATGTTTTTCCCAAAAAAACTAGGGTTTTACGGGATTTCTTTTGGCGGGTTTCAGTTGGAAAAACTAAATTTTGGGACTCTCTGGGTGGTTTGGTACCCAGACGAACCTTTAAACAAAAATTTCAGCTCCCTAGCTACTCTAGAAGTGACAAAAATGTTTTTTCTGTCACCAAACGCCCATATTTCACCTACTGACGTTTACGTCTAGTTTGCCTGTCGACGCATGTTAATTCTCCATAAGAAATACATTAAAAAACGATCTTTTTTATTGAAAATCCGCCATTTTGAATTTTTTTTAGGTTAAAATTATTGAAGGTCACTCTAGGGACATTCCTTTAAATGTTGGGAGCATAAAAAGTAGAAATATATATACGAAAAGTCGTTTTAAAAATTAAAAACACGTAAAAAAATAGAGGATTTTCACAATTTTTGGAGTTAGAGCGTTTTTTGAAGGTGAAGGAGTGCGAATTTCGATATGACGCCTTCTCTGAGAAAACTGTCTTGTAGAAAATTTAATTGCGAACTCACGATTTTTCCTCAAATCGATTCTAGCTCTTACGGTTTTCGAGCTACAGCCGTTTTAAAAAAACATGTTTTTCCGAAAACCGAAATTTTTATGGAATTTTTTTTGGGGGGGTAGAATTTTGAAAATGGGGTTATTAAGGATATTACCGATAATTTAAGATCCCATAGTACAATACTACGCAAATTCTAAGTCTCTAGCACGTTTCTAAACGGTTCAGATGAGCGTACGAAAATTGGTGTTTTTCAACGTTATTTCCCATAAGAATAACATGGGGGGGGAAATCGTTAATTTAGGGGGGGTTGGAAGAGGAAAATGCCACTTTTCGGATTTTTCCCGGGGGTCTGGGCACTAGACCTTCAAAACACCGAAAATTTCACGTCTCTAGCTCATCTAGAAGTGCCCAAACATTAGTATACGTTACTAGTTACACATCCGGCTGTATAATATAAAGGTTGGGACTCGCCTTGTGCTCGCTGGGGGCTCCGCCCCCAGGCCCCCTTTTAATAGTAGCCGTGATGAGAAATTGTCACGGGGGACAGGATGTTGTCCGGAAACATTTTTGCTTTTTGCGTAAAAGACGTAGTGATAACTTGGCAGTTGCGAAGTATTCCATAGGGGGGTTGTTTAGTGCAAACCAAACCAGTCTTGGCATGTTAGAGTCTCGATGTAGGGCCGGTGCTATGATGAATTAAATTTGCTAAGTCACAACCTCTAAAACTTTCTTCACATCAATAAGCATCGATATAAAGTCTTAGGAGTTAGAGTGAGGTAAAATAATATTTTTAAATAATCTTAAGCCCCCTTCGGGGGCGGGGGGTTGGTAAAAATTATCGACATGAAGAATGGACCCCTTGCGCAGTAAAAATCACCAAAAATAGAGAAAAAAGATAAAATTTCAGGTTTAAACA